ACAATTGCGCAGACCGCAGCCCCCCAGGGGCGGCGAGGTACCGTGGTGATCCGCGTATGACGTACCGTCCCAGGAACCCACGAGAGTGGCGACAGTTGCGCAGATCGCAAGCCACCCAGGGGGCGGCGAGGTACCGAGGTGATCAGCGCATGACGTACCTCCGCTGGGCTTCCCAGTAACCCACGAACGTGGCGACAGTTGCGCAGGTCGCACCCCCCCCCCAAGGGGCGGCGGGGTCCCGTGGTGATCCGCGTATGACGTACATCCGCTGGCCCTCCCAGGAGCCCGCGAAAGTGACGACAATTGCGCAGATCGCAGCCCCCCAGGGGGCGGCGAGGCACCGAGGTGATCCGCGTATGACGTACCTGTGATGGGCCTCCCAGGAACCCACGAACGTGGCGACAGTTGCGCAGATCGCAGCCCCCCGGGGGCGGCGAGGTCCCGAGGTGACCCGCGTATGACGTACCTCTACTGGGCCCCCCCAGGAGCCCACGAACATGGCGACAGTTGCGCAGATCGCAAGCCAGCCAGGGGGCGGCGAGGCACCGAGGTGATCCGCGTGGGACCCACCTCCGCTGGGCCTCCCAGGAGCCCACGAAAGTGGCGACAATTTCGCAGATCGCAAGCCACCCAGGGGGCGGCGAGGCACCGAGGTGATCCGCGTGGGACCTACCTCCGCTGGGCCTCCCAGGAACCCACGACAGTGGCGACGATTGCGCAGATCGCAAGCCCCCCCAGGGGGCGGCGAGGTGCCGACGTGATCCGCGTGGGACCCACCTCCGCTGGGCATCCCAGGAATCCACGAAAGTGGCAACAGTTAGTTGCGCAGATCGCAAGCCACCCAGGGGGCGGCGAGGTACCGAGGTGATCCGCGTGGGACCCACCTCCGCTGGGCCTCCCAGGAGCACACGACAGTGGCGACAGTTGCGCAGATTGCAAGCCTCCCCAGAGGGCGGCGAGGTACCGAGGTGATCCGCGTGGGACCTACCCCCCCCTGGGCCTCCCAGGAACCCACGAACGTGGCGACAGTTGCGCAGATCGCAAGCCCCCAGGGGGCGGCGAGGTACCGAGGTGATCCGCGTGGGACCCACCTCCGCTGGGCCTCCCAGGAGCCCACGACAGTGGCGACAATTTCGCAGATCGCAAGCCCCCCAGGGGGCGGGGAGGTACCGAGGTGATCCGCGTGGGACCCAACCCCGCTGGGCCTCCCAGGAGCCCATGAAAGTGGCGACCGTTGCGCAGATCGCAAGCCCCCCAGGGGGCGGCGAGGTACCGAGGTGATCCGCGTGGGACCCACCTCCGCTGGGCCTCCCAGGAGCCCTACGAAAGTGGCGACAGTTGCGCAGATCGCAAGCCACCCAGGGGGCGGCGAGGTACCGAGGTGATCCACGTGGGACCCACCGTCTCGGCTGGGCCTCCCAGGAGCCCACGAAAGTGGCGACAGTTGCGCAGATCGCAAGCCCCCCAGGAGGCGGCGAGGTACCGAGGTGATCCGCGTGGGACCCACCTCCGCTGAGCCTCCCAGGAGCTCATACAAGTGGCGACAGTTGCGCAGATCGCAAGCCACCCAGGGGGCGGGGAGGTACCGAGGTGATCCGCGTGGGACCTACCTCCGCTGGGCCTCCCAGGAGCCAATGAAAGTGGCGACCGTTGCGCAGATCGCAAGCCCCCCAGGGGGCGGTTGGGTACCGACGTGATCCGCATGGGCGCATGGGACCCACCTCCGCTGGGCCTCCCAGGATCCCACGACAGTGGCGACAATTGCGCAGATCTTAAGCCTTCCAGGGGGCGGCGAGGTACCGAGGTGAGCCGCGTGGGACCCACCTCCGCTGGGCCTCCCAGGAGCCCACGAACGTGGCGACAGTTGCGCAGGTCGCAAGCCCCCCAGGGGGCGGCGAGGTACCGAGGTGATCCGCGTGGGACCTACCTCCGCTGGGCCCCCAAGGAGCCCACAACAGTGGCGACAGTTGCGCAGATCGCAAGCCTCCCCAGAGGGCGGCGAGGTACCGAGGTGATCCGCGTGGGACCCTACCTCCCCCTGGGCCTCCCAGGAGCCCACGAAAGTGGCGACAGTTGCGCAGATCGCAGCCCGACGGCACGAGAGAAGAGGAGAGGAGCACACAGGACACAGGAGAGAAGGAGGAGGGGAGGCGAGGGGAGGAGAATGAAGGAAGGAAGGACGGGGCGACCACACTGCTCTATTCAAAACGAGTACCCAACTCAGGAGGGTTGGGAACAAGGATCACGCATAGCTTCCCGCATTGAAGTTTACGACGGACATCAGTGAAAGAAGATAGGACGTGGTGCTCCCCGTGGTAAACGTCTCTAGCGCAGGTGGCTGCATCAACCCTGGGCTATGAGACACAAGGATCACACATAGCTTCCCGCAGCGAAGTTTGAGATGGAAACCGTTGCAAGATTCGCCGAGGCGTTCCTTGTGGTAAGCGTCTTTGGCGCAGCGGACCCCGTCGTAGAATCGGATTTCTATTGTTGGACCCTCTTGGGGCTCTTGGGGGTCTCTTGGGGCTCTCTTGAGGCTATCTTGTTGCTCTTTTGGGGTGCCGTGGGGCCCTCTTGGGGCTCTTGTGGGGGTCTGGGAGGCCTCTTGGGGCCGTCTTGGACCCCTTCGCTTAAAAATAGGGGGGTCGTACATTTAGGTCCCCCCCCCTCGGAGGCCCAATAAGGGCGTCTTGGGGCCCTTTTGGACCGCTCTTGGGGCGCTCTTGGGGCCGACTTGAGGCCCTCTCGGGCCTCTCTTGGGGCTATGTTGGGCCATCTGGGGGCCACATTGACGCCTCAAAAGCCCATCGGACGCAACAACGCGAAACGGCAACAACATTGATTGTCCATAGTTTTTGAACCCATTTTGGCATCTCGGGTGGATCTTTGGAGGGTTCGGATGGCACTTGAAACCGGCCGCCTTGAGGCCTCTTGGATGCGTGTTGGAGGCTATCTTGAGCCGTCTTGAGGTATCGTGGGCGATCTTGGAGGCCATCTTGGGCCAGCTACAGCCCTCTTGAAGCTATCTACGGACATCTTGGACGCTCTAACCCCTCGCGGGGGAGCCCGTCCAGGCCCAGGGAGGGGGGGGGGGTAAACCTTCCGAGCAGGGAAAGGAAGGATGTTCGAACCGGAAACGCTCTAGACTACCTGCGCCCAGAGGGTTGGTGGGATTAGCCTGGCGTGGGACCCAACCATATGCAGCTGCGAATGCCGCGATGAAGATGGGACGAAGGAAAGGGGCGCGCAAACTCCGAGCAGCGCACGCGGTATAGCCTTTGCCACGAAACGTGTGAAGGGTGTGCTGACATGAGTCGGGGGGGCGCCTGCGACCGTCGCCATTGGGGTCTTCCGTGGAGCTCCTTACAGGGCCACGGAACGTGTGAGGGGTGTGCCGAAATTGGGCGGCGGTGCCATGCGAACTTCCCCACTGGGGCTTTAGGTGGAGCTTCTTACGGGGCCACGAAACGTGCGAGCGGTGTGCCGAAATGGGACGGTGGTGCCACGGGACCACGAAACGTGTGAGGAGTGTGCCGAAATGGGGCGGCCATGCCATGCGAACTTTCCCACTGGAGCCTTCGGTGTAGCTCCCCATGTGGCCACGAAACGTGTGAGGGGTGTGCCCACATGGGGCGGCGGTGCCATGCGAACTTTCCCACTGGGGCTTTAGGTGGGGCTCCTAGTGGGGCCACGAAGCGTGTGAGGGGTGTGCCGAAATGGGGCGGCGGTGCCATGCGAATTTTCGCACTGGGGCCTTAGGTGGAGCTCCTTATGGGACCACGAAACGTGTGAGGGGTGTGCCGAAATCGGGCGGCGGTGCCATGCGAACTTTCCCAGTGGGGCCTTCGGTGGAGCTTCCCGTGGGGCCACGAAACGTCTGAGGGGTGCCGAAATGGAATGGGCATGCGGAGAGCAGAGGCAGGGAGGGGAGGAGGGAGGAGGATGAGGAGGAGGAGAAGGAGGAGAAAGAGGAGGGAGAGGAGGGAGGAATGAGGATGAACGCGGGGCGCTGTCTCTCCAAAAAGAACCCAACACCACAGGATGGTTGGGGAACCAATTCGCCTGACGAAGGACCCAACCATATGCTGCTGCGAGTGCCGCGAGGGGGGGGGGCGCGCAAACTCCGAGTAGCGCACGCGGTATAGCCTTCTGCCACGAAACGTGTGAGGGGTGTGCCGACATGAGTCGGGGGGACGCCTGCGAACGTCGCCATTGGGGCCTTCCGTGGGCGAACTTCCCCACTGGTACTTCGGTGTAGCTCCCCATGGGGCCACGAAGCGTGTGAGGGGTGTGCCGAAATGGGGCGGCGGTGCCATGCGAACTTTCCCAGTGGGGCCTTCGGTGGAGCTTCTTATGGGACCACGAAACGTGTGAGGGGTGTGCCGAAATGGGGCGGCGGTGCCATGCGAACTTTCCCACTGGGGCCTTCGGCGGAGCTCCCTGTGGGGCCACGAAACGCGTGAGGGGTGTGCCCACATGGGGCCGCGGTGCCATGCGAACTTTCCCACTGGGGCCTTCGGTGTAGCTCCCCATGTGGCCACGAAGCGTGTGAGGGGTGTGCCCACATGGGGCGGCGGTGCCATGCGAATTTTCGCACTGGGGCCTTAGGTGAAGCTCCTTGTGGGACCACGAAGCGTGTGAGGGGTGTGCCGAAATGGGATGGGCATGTGGAGAGCAGAGGCGGGGAGGGGAGGAGGGAGGAGGAGGAGGAGGAGGAGGAGGAGGAGGAGGAGGAGGAGGAGGAGGAGCAGGAGGAGGAAGAGGAGGAGGAGGAGGAGGAGGAGCAGGAGGAGGAGCAGGAGGAGGAGGCGGAGGGGGAGGGAGGAAGGAAGGAAGGTGGAACGCGGGGCGCTGTCTCTTCAGAACGAGGAAGCAACACCACAGGATGGTTGGAACATATGTGATGGCCGAGGGGCAATTGGGATCGCTAGTTCTACTCAGCGTTGTCGTTGCAAGGTGTTCTTCGTTCAGACGTCTCTCTTCCCCGCTTCGCGGCGCAGGTGCCCTCGTCCGGCTCTTACGTGCCGCCGCCGTGGGCGCAGAGTCAGCCGCTGGAGCAGAGGAGCCGGGAGACGCAGAGCAATATTGCGCAGACGAAGCGTGGACGCAAGGATGCACACCCAGAATACAGAACAGATAGGATATTCCGAGCTTCTTTAAAAGCGTCGGGGGGGGCGTCACCCCCGTCGACAGATCCACGTCGACCCCCGTCGCGGGTAGCCACCGCGCGCCGGAGGCACTCCGACCCCCGTCGGGGCGGTACCCCCCCACGCTTATAAGAAGCCCAGAGTACTCTGGCTGTTCTGCTTCGGCTCAGTTTGTGGGCTCTTGTGTGGTCCGGTTGCGCCCCGGCATTGCGCGAGCGGCGGCGTATTGTCCGACCGTCACAGGGGGGATGCTCTGCACGCAGCGGGGTCGATGCACACGTGCCTGGGCGTGCGCTCGTGGAGCAGTGTGAGGCACTTGTTGTTGCGATCAGAGGCCCCCCTCCTGCTCTTACTCCGCCTCTTCCTCCTCCTCCTCCTGCTCCTCCTCCTCCTCCTGTTCCTCCCCCTCCCCCTCCTCCTCGTCCTCCTCCTCCTCCTTCTCCTCCTTCTACTCTTCCTAGCCAGTTCCAGGTTTCGAGCTGATTCGAGCGAAACTTTTTGGCCAGCGCAGTTGGAAGTGTCGCAGCTGGTCAGAGCCAAGCGATGACATGTTAGCAGATGGAGCGCCTTGGGAAACCCAGAAGAAAGCCTGGGAATGTCCAGAGTGTTCGTTCCTCAACTTCCACTTTCGCACATCGTGTCGTGAATGTGGTTCCTGCACGCCTCAGTCTGGTCTTCAAGGCCGCAAGCAACCGAGTCAAGGGCAGCACCAGCAGCGAAGAGGGAAGCCACCGCCCGTCAACCGTTGCTCGAGGGGCCACCGCGTGGGTCGGGAGGCTCAGGCGGGGTCGACCCCTCCTCGCTCTCTGCGGAGCAGCTCGTGTCGCTGCTCCAGGCCAGAGGCCTCGCCAATGGCTCCCAGCTCGCGACCGACGTGGAGCGTGTTCTTCAGGGGAGCGAGAGAGTGCAGCCTGTGGACCTGGCCGCTTAGGGTCTTGAAGACCTTTTGCAGCGGAGGCAGAGGAAGGCTAAAAAGAACGAGGCATACATTCTACGTGCTCAATCAGCGCAGGAGGCTTTGGACCAAGCCAAAGCAGCCTACGAGGAGGAGGCCAAGCAGCTGGCCAAGCAAACATCGGGAGACACTGGCCGACCTCGAGTGCCACATCAAGCGGGCGCAGTCTGCCATCATCCTCCCAGAGCCCCCACGTGAAGGTCAGCAAGTGGACCCAAAGCATTCGATTGCCATGATGGCAATCTTGGAGGGTGTATCGGCAACTAAGGAGGTCGATTCGGGCTCAGTACCGAGAGCGTCCTCTCGCAGGCGGCGGGCAAAACGAAGGAATTCGAGTCCCATGTCCCAGCGCCCATGGAGGCCGAACAGCCTGCTGGCGATGGTCCTCCTGCTGATCAGCTTGCTGCTGGGCCTGCTGGGGACCCGCCAGATCCAGTCGTCAGCCTCGACGCTGAGGACGAGGAGGTCAAGAGAGTGTTCGCACACGCGGGCATGGGCGTCGCCCAGATGGACAAGTTCAAGCGCCTTTTCGAGAAGGCCGGCAGCCTGGCCAAGAGGCCGCGGCAGGGGTAGCCTGGGGCTGCTGCAGGCAGGCGGTGCTGACGATGGTGAGCTTCTACCCTTCCACGGCGAGGTGTTGGCGGGGCTGGCACCAGCGGGACAGCATGGGATTTGCCTGTGGACTGCCAATGCGTCGTCGTGGGCGTCGGGGCAGTGTCTGCTGGAGTGGGCTCATGACAGTCCTGACCACGTCTTGCCAGATGTGTCGTGTGTGCAAGAGCATCGTATCCAGAGCGCGATGCTTCTGAGTTCGTCAGTGAAGTGGGCTTCGAATACATCCTACAGCTGGATATCGAGGCTGGCGGAGTCAACGGGCGATGGCCCCCTGCACTCCAGTGGCGGCGTCGGGGTCCTCAGCATCATCAGGGCTATGAGAGAGCCCAACCTTCTGAAGGAGCCGCTGCCGTCGCACCGCGTGGAGTCGCTTCGGTTGAATGTGGGGCTCCCCGTGCCGCTCCATGCCATGTCCGTCTACCTGGTCACCAGGTTCGCAATGGCGAAGGAGAGCGTGGCCATCCTGGCGCTGCTCATGGAGTACCTCGGTGCGTTGCCCAGGCCATGGGCCATGCTGGGCGACTTCAGCATGCTGCCAGCGGACCTGCAGGAGTGGGCGATTCGTGCTGGCGGGTATGTCCTGGTCCCAAGGGTGCCTATGTGCGGGGGCCGCTTTGGCATCTGTTCGAAGGTGCGCATTGGCTTCGCTGAGTCCGCTGTGCCGATCGAGGGCCCCGCGCTCCAGACGCGCATCTCTGTGCAGGTGAGGCTGTGAGAGCTCGGGCGAGAGGGCATAGTTTCGCGGCCCGTCTTTCCCTTGGAGTTTCTTGCGGACAAGCCGCCCCCTGTAAGGGCGGCCCCCAAGGAAGCCTCTGCGAGCGAGTGGTCTTGGGAGGTCGGGCGCGGGGCCCCCGTTGATGTCGGCGAGGCGCGTGCTGCATGGTTCTACAGTGCGGAGGCTTACCTCGGGGAGTGTCGTGGTCTTTCGGACTGGGCTAAAGGGGCCTGGGCGGCCCGAGCCCAGGGGTTCAAGACGGCCAGCGAGCCGCTCGTGCAGGCCTGGGGCAGGTCTCTGAAGCAACGCCCGAGTGCTGAGTTCAAGATGTGGGCTTGATTCTATTCGGCGGTGCATCGCCTCGTGGAGTCGGGCCCGGCGGCCAGAGCTCGCAGCCCGCCCCTGGCGGCCCTTCGCAGGCAGAGGCAGACTGTTCGACGCATCGTGATTTGCAACTGGCCGGAGTCGGGACTTCTTGGCAGGTGGCCGGGGGCCCCGAGACAGGATCCGATTGAATTGTTAGCGTCGGGCGATCGACATCAGTTGGCTAGAGCGGCGGACTTGTCGGGCGCCTCGCGCAGGCACCTTGCCACGCTGCAGAGCCGACAGGGCTGAGGCGGCCGGAGCTTGGCGAGAGTGGGCGCGGTCTGCTGTTCGAAACGGCGGCAGCTGCGCCCTCGGGTCTGCGCGCGATTCGGCCCAGCCCTCGGCGTTGCAAACGGATGCCAGGAGGACCCCCCATCTCTGCCCACTGCTGGAAAAAAAGGCTTTGGACCATATCATGTCTACCTGGCTCCCTCTGCGGCGCCACGAGCAGCGCGAACAGGAGCAGCATCCTTCTGTGTGGGAGGTCCCGCGACTGGCTTCCGCGGTGGTCGGCGGCTCTCCTGCCGCGCCGTCGGGCCCCGAGGGCTGCCCTGGCTCGGCGGCAGCTGGCGGAAGAATGGATCCGTGCGCTGAGCTCCCACCAATCGCGCTCGAGCAGCTAGATGTTGTCATCCACAGCTACTTGGCGCAAGCTGGGCTAGGCTGGGATAAGTTCCACCCGAGGCACATGGCGCACCTGCCGCAGTCGCATCGCCGGGCCCCCCTGTGCATCCTGCATGCGTGGGAGAGGCGCCCAAGAGAGGAGGACCTGATTCTGCTCTTAATGCTTTTTCTCAGTAAGCTTCCCCCTTCCCAGGGGGTGTTAGGCATATCGTTCCCGTCTCCCTTTGGGCCCGCGTCTGGCCGAGGCGCTGTCAGGTCGTTGCGCGTCGGTGGGAGAGCGCCCTGGAGAGCGCGGCTTTCTGGGGGAGGTGCTGGGAACGCGTGCGACAGGTCTGGCCTAGCGCATAATGCGTTGCAGATGTTTGCCAAGCTGAAAGGATTTGCGGCTGCGCGCGGGCTGCCTGGCCTTTCGAAATGCGATGCGTGCATTCCCCATGCAGAGCTCAAGCGCGAAGCCAGCAAGACGGGCTTCCCTCTTGCCCTGCTGAAGCGTCTCTGTTCGGCGCATGGGCTTCCTCGGCGCTCAGTCTGGCAGGGGGCGGTTTTGGCGGCAGTGCGCGCGAACGGCACGGTGGCGGCAGGGTGCAGTCGCGCCCTGGCTCTGGCTAAGCTGCTAGCGCGCGCTTAGTGCAGCTTCAGATGATGTTTCCAGCAGCCAGGTTTCAAAACCGCATCGACGATGCTTTACTCCAGGCGCTCGGCCCCGCTGAGCAGGTGATTCCCCAGTTCCCCGAGGCCGCGATGGCTTTGGCGCGCGGGCTCCAAAGAGAGGAGAACCCGAGTGAACTGGGACAAGACGGGCTACCCAACCACTTCTGGAAAGCTAGCTGCTCAGTTGAATTTGAAGTTGGGTTTGCGCGAGGATGTTCGCCTGTCAGGGGCGCGTTGTCTCGGCGCGGACGCTAGAGATGGTTCGGCTCGCAGGGCGGCGGCGGCGGCGCGGGGTGGCGGCGGCGGGGTGGGTGGGGGGGGGCAAGACAAACGGATCGCCAAGGCCAAGAGGTCCTCGGCGAGAGTTCAGCAGCTCGGAGTGGCCGGAGCCAGCTGCAGCACCATCCAATGGGGGTCTCCGACGGCGGCGGCGGCGTGGGGGAGTGCGGTTACTGGGATTTCGGGCCCTGGGTTGCAGGGGCTCCGCGTTTGCCCTCCGCGCGGAGGGTCGTCTCCCCGCGGGCGCGCCAGTGGGCTTGAGGCCCCGAGTTTCCCCGGGGGGCTCTTTCAGGGGGCCCGGGACTGCGCGCGGTCGAGGTGGCCGAGCAGCGGTCGCTCTCGGCGCTGCCTGTGCTCTCCGGGCGCGGCCCCGCGCAGGCGCGCTTGGGGGCTGGCAGGGGCCTTCCAGGCATGGCCATGCCGTGGGGGCATTGTGTTCCTGGGCAGGTGTCGTTGCTCTGCGTGGCCAGGACAGGCATCGCCATGCCAGGTGCGTTTTCCATCATTTTCCCAGGCGCCGAGTACTCCACGCTGGCGTTCATTCCAGGTTTCATCGCTGCCAGGGCCTGTGAAGCCGCCCTGCTTGCTTCAGATGCGCAGGCCCTTGGGCGGGTGGAGGGGGGCTGGGCCTCTGCCCCTCACTGGGGCCCCATTGGCCATCTCCTGGACAAGCCGATCAGCGAAACCTGGACGCCACACCACGAGGCGAT